TGCCTATGTCAAATAGATTGATGGAGGTAACAAGTCTGTCTACCATAGAACGGTCTACTGAACTATGAGTAATGTAGACGGACACAAGAACAAGTATTGGGGGGAATGACATAAGTGGGGAAACGACCCGCTGGGGAAAGGACAACGATCCTAATGCTGGATGCAACAATTACACTACAATGTAATATATAATGAAAATGCTGGGGAAATGGCAATGGATATGGCACGCGGGCCAAACCAAATCTTGCCTAGGAAAGGCATGTACACATACAAGCCGTGTCTAACATAGAACGGTCTACTGAACTATGTTTCGACATGAAAAGTATGGGCACATACCAGACCAAGCTCAATCATGGAAAGACGCAAGCCATAGATGGAAGGTGATGCAGTGAATGCATGCGAGCTGCAATACAACATCTGCAAATATTACAATGATGCAATGGATAATGCAACTATTTACGATGGTGCATGACAATGCAACTATTTACGATGGTGCATGACAATGCATGTTTTTTTTTCATTTTTTTTTTCGTTTTTGAGATGCAAATGCATGATGATGCATGATTTTGAAGTGCGCGACAATGCGCGGCTTTTGAGATGCACGACAATGCAAACGAACTGTGCACATTAATGCACCAAAGGTCTTGCACCTTCTAAGGATTTAAGGTCTCCTAGACCGTGTATATTCTCGATATGTCTCACTCGGAGTATACCATACCTGTGCGGCTCGTCTGGTTGCACCAACCTCAAATGAACCGTACATACAATATCGTGCCTGCAAAGAAAACAAACTTAACAGGTACAATGTGATTAACAACATGCATATTAATGTGCTTAAAAATGCGTGACAACGCAAAGCAAGTGGGAAGCATAACAATGCTGTGAAGGCATAGTCATGTAAGTGGAGCATGCGGTCTACGCAGGCAACGAAGCTGATCATAAGCATGTGGTCTACGTAAGTAATGAAATTGAACATAAGCATGCGGTCTACGCAAGCAGAACGTGCGGTCTACGCAAGTAATGGAATTAATCACAACCATACGGTCTACGCAAGCAAAATATGCGGTCTACGCAAGCAAAACATGCGATCTACGCGAGTAACGTGATTAATTATAAACATGCGGTCTACGCAAGTAATGGAATTAAACAAACATGCGTTCTACGCAAGCAAAACATGCGGTCTACGCAAATAATGAATTTGGATGCAAACATGCGGTCTACGCAAGCAAAACATGAGGTCTACGCAAGTAATGAAATTGAACAAACATGCGATCTACACAAGCAAAACATGCGGTCTACGCAAGTAATGAAATTGAACAAACATGCGGTCTACGCAAGCAAAATATG